TCTTTCATATGGATGTGTCATGCATGGCGTCCAAACCGCCCAGAAAGACCTAAATTCTCAGTTGTATACAACAACTTTCAAAGATTAGTGGTGGAAAACTGCTTTGAGCGAGTGTAACGATCATACATCTTTGGACATCGTGGACTGTCGCTACAGATTCAGAAAGAAAGGTGCCAAATAACAGAATCCACTTCAATTGAGGATTGCCAACAACAGCAACAACTAAAATGAATATCGCATTGAACTCCAAGTGATGATATAATCAAGATGTTAGCATTCCACACTACTTCAAACAAAAGGTTGGCAGGGAAACTCCCATCAAAACTGGAAAGTACGGTAACAGCTACTGAAATTGAAAAAAAAAACTTGTTTCCTGAAAAGTTATTTTAAGAAAGGAATTTATAAATTTTAGCCAAAAGCAGTACTGACTGCTTGGTTATTAAATACCAACTGTTTCCTTGTAGGGAAATGGTAAATATTACATTTGCTATTAACATGGATCACGGTTTCTTATAATTAATAGACAGTCTTTTCTCCTTGCTTTCCTCGACATTTTTAATAGTTCTTTAAGTTTTCATTTTGAAAATGTTTTCAGTATAGTGTTATCTGCGTAGTATATTTTATTAAGGATATTTTTGCTGATAATAAATCCTGCCAGGTTCTCCATGTTTCTTTGAGTCGTCTGTAAATAAAAGTTCATTCCTATGATTCTTTTTCGTATTCCTCTATTTTGGCAGACTCACTCAAATTGCTCTCTAATCGTATATAAGTTGTTTGTTCCAAATACAGATAACGGATTATTTGTATATCCTTTCCATGTAGATCAAGCTTTTCTATCATTTCAATTCTGGATTTTACGTCATCAAATGCTTTTCTGTAATTTATGAAAGAATGGTATGAAGGCTTTTTAATTTTTGTTCGTTATGACAGCATTCTCATCATGTATATATAATTTCCTGATCCAGTCTCTTGAACAAAGATGAAATGTTTCTCTCCTGTTTATCGTCTGAAACTGCTACAAACTGTACATCAGTATTCTAAACATTAGGGTTTAGATATTGTGGTGGTATTATGTTAATCATTAATTTGATTGTTCGATTAAGTTCGTATTCATTTGCATCTTGTTTCTTTCCCAACGCTATGAAAATTAATTCCTTCCATAATTTCCCCGCTATTGTATATCACAATTATGATTATTTACACATGACAACTAACCAAATAACTTTCTGTAAAAGCACGACGGTACACAGATGCAAAAACGTTCGCGTGAAAATTTAGCCTTTAGAATAGTGTATGCAGGCAACGCCATGACATCTTGCTAGCGAAGACTGAGAGCAATGACAGACATCAAGATGTCCCGACGTAAAGAAATAAAAATAAGTTATTAGACAAGGAAAACATTGTCGTTGGAAGGTAGAAACGCACCAAATAAATCTCTGGACCAGTCAGAGATTGAAATATCGGAAATAAACTAATTTGACTTAACGTAAATGTGTTTACCGGTTTTATTGGCGCATTTGAAGAATTTATTTGTCTTGATGGTCTTTTTCGTTTACAGTTGCATATCTAGACGTATTTACACATCAGAATATAAAACTTCACACACATACACACACAGTGATTTACATATGCGCATTAAATCTTAATCATTCACGGATATATTTGTACGCCTGTGTGTTTCTATGCGTTTATATAAGTGGCTCTCTATTGGACAGTTCATGAACGTAAGTAGACAAGTTTATTATAAAGATAGATTCATGAAAATAAACGCGTATACATGCACATACACACATGCACGTGCAAAAATACATATACATACATTTATATATGTGTGTGTGTATGCATGTATGTATATGTATTTTGCGCGTATACATACGTGTGCACGTATGTGTACGCGCAAAAATACATACACATACATCTATATATGTATGTATGTATACATGTATACATATATATATATGTATGTATATGTATTTTTGCGCGTGCGTGTATGTGTATGTGCATGTAAATTCATATATATATATATATATATATATATATATACAACTCATATATATATGTGCATGTATACAACTTATATATGCATATAAGCGTGTGTGCGTGAATGTGTATATATAATATATATATATATATATATATATATATATATATATATATATATATATATATATATATTATTGTAGTTGCTGTTGATGTTGCCAAATGATCACCGAATGAGAAAATGCTAATTTCACTATCAGTACTAAGTTGAATTGGTTCTTTAAAAAAAATGAATAATGAGAATGTAAGAAATTCTTGCAGGAATGTTCAGTTCAATTCGATAATGGAACTTGTCGCAAAATGTGGCAAAACGCTAAACGCATTAGTCCTAGCCGTACTTGTCTGATGGCGTCCATTAAGTACGAACAAACACGTTACTTGAAATTAAAAAAAGAAAACTTAGTTCATTCGTTAATAACTTCAATAAACAAGAACGGATAGGATTTCATATATTAAATTAAAGCTTTCGCTGACATAGGTATTCATGGGTGCGATTAGAACGATTTTGAACAGAATATCCACAGCTTCTATCAAGTTATCTATGAAATAGAACTGAAGATAAATAATTTCAAAACAGCAATTATGATCTCGAATAAAAACTTGAATTATCTTCTTAAATAGTCGCGTCAGATAGAATCTTTCATATGGATGTGTCATGCATGGCGTCCAAACCGTCCAGAAAAAAACCTAAACTCTCAGATGTATACAACCACTTCCTTTCGCTGACATTTTATAAGAGTTTCAGTCTCGCCCAAGACACTATAATTTCGATTAATGCAATATATCCAAATAAGGTAATAACACAATATTTGAGAAAACTTAGAGATAGGTTTTAAAGTTTACTGAGCTTTTATATCCCGTTCAGTCAATTGTCAGGACATGGTCGCTTGACACAACTGTGAAAATAATTATAATCTGGAAAATGAGTTCTGCATAAATTCATGGAAGATAACAATTTATCTGCACAACTATTAAAACATATTTATGTATTAAACATTTGTCCGTACCATTACAAAATAAATCATTTGTCTGTACCTTTAATTATTTGTCTGCACCATTAACCATTGACCATTTTCCTCATCATTAACTATCTGTCTCTAGCATTTAACATTTGTCTGCACCATTAACCATTAATAATTAACCATTAAATATTGCGTATTTGTCTGTTCCATTAAACATTTGTCAGTACCATTAATTATTTGTCTGAACCATTAATCATTAACTATTTGTCTGTAGCATTAACTTTTAACAATATTCATGTATCATTAACTATTTGTCTGTGCCATTAACCATTTGTCAGTGCCATTAACTATTAACAATACTCATGTACAATTAACCACTTGTCTGTTCCTTTAACCATTAATCTGCATCATTAACCATTTTTTCAGTACCATTAACGTTTGACAGTACCATTAACCCTTTTCTACAACATTAGCCATTAAACATATTTCTATACCAATAAAAATTATCCATTTGTCTGTATCCTTAACCATTTTTTTACACGATTAACTATAAACCATTTGTCGGTACCATTGACTATTACTCATTTGCCTATACCATTAGCTAATTTGTTTTGTACTATTAACTATTTCTTTCTAACATTAACTCTTAGCTAGGTTTCTATACCAATAACCAGTTTTCTCTGCCATTAGCTATTAAAAATTGTCTGCACCACATCATTAACCATTAAAAAGTAGTCTGTACTATTAACCATTAACTTTGTCTGTTTCTTCTTGTGTTCATTTTTGGAGAAGATAGACCCAGGAGATGGAAAACAGATTCATTGCGAGCATTCAGAAATATTTTGAAAAATCGTAGTTAGACCCAAAATGCCTTCCATCGACGGAATTTACCGGGAGGAAGCATTCTTGAGGGAGCAATAGGCTTAATTGAAGGAGAAATGACTTTATTCAAGGTCAGCTTTCGATCTTATTGCAAAGCAACGCCAGTTACCACTTCAAAAACATGGCACAGTAAGCGTGCATGAAAGGGAGACAGGTTTCTACATGCAGCATATATATTGGCTTTATTTAACTAGACTGGTTGATTTATAAAAAATAGGGAAAAGTTTTTCAGGAAATAATTTTTGTAGATTAGAATTCTTTAGAACTTTCTTAGACTACGACACTCACTTGTCAGAATCAAAACATACAGACTTCTTATCGATCTAGTAGAGGTGCTCTATTAATCAATAAAGTGAGAAATCGATTCTGACTTTGAAGAGTTATTGGCCTTAGGCGAAGTCACTGAGCTGTTATTTACCAATTTCAAGTTTGAAAATGTGCTAATGTCATTGATATCTGTACAAGCATTTTAAGATTTCTGAATTTTTTTTTCAAACATTTTTATGAGATTTTTTGGTAGCACATGCACAAATATTTCAGGTTCAGAATTATTTATCTTAAATTTAAAATAACCGGTTATGCAATTTTATGCAAATATTCGCTTGTTCGTTATTTTAAAAGAAGCCTTTTTTTGTAATTCCAGCTAAAAAAAAAAAGTATTTTTTCGAACACAAAACACTTAGGGCCAATAACTCTGTAAATGTCAGAGGTCGATTTGATTCTGCATCGATATTATAAACGGATCTCCTCTTCTAAATCAATAACATTTTTTTTATTATTCTAAGAAGAGTCGTGATCTAACAAAGACCTAAAGAATGCTCATCTACAAAAATATTTAGGAAAAATTGAAAGAAAATACGTTGAGGACTGAAAAATGGTGATATGAAATAGTTTTCTCAAAAGTACTGGGAATTTTTGCAGTAAGTTATAAATATATGAGTCAATAAATATATGGGTGTATGAGAGAGAGAGAGAAAGAGAGAGGGAGAGAGAGAGAGAGAACGTCCTTGTTAATCTATTGGGTGCCTGTTTGTCCAGGGCCTGTCGAGGGTTTAAATGAGTGTTGCCTGTATGCGAGATAATTTTTACTGTAATATTACTATTTAATCTTAACAGGTTTTGTCTTTTCTTTCTCTCTCATCGCTATCTCTCTACGCATCTCTCTATCTCTCTATATCTCTCTATATCTCTCTATCTATCTACCTGTCATTTTGTCAATCTATCTTTCCCTTCACCAAACGCAGACACATATACACACGCACACGCGGCTGATAATTTCCACTCTTACTTTCTCTCTATCTCTCTCTCATTTTTATTCTCTCTCCTTCACACTCTCCTTCTTGCTTCCTCTTCCATCTATCCCCTACACAAGAGCTCTACCTTCTCTGTGTCACTTTCCCTCCCTACCTCTCTTCGCCCCCACTCTTCATATGCACGCACGCGCGCTTTCTATCGGCCATCTCCCATTCCTTCCCTCTCTAGTCCTTAATGTTAGTGACACTGACACAAAAAAAAACAGACTTTTTGTTCCCTCCAGAAATCTCATAAACACATTTTCTCCCTAACACTCTTGTCCAAACTTCAGATTTACCTCAGCTCCGGGGCTCCTAATGGCTTACGTGACATTGTTTATTTCGCCTATCAACGCGACGTCGTCTGTCTGATGAATTAGGCACGAAAAGACAGAATTTTCAGTGGTAAATTGTGGATATAGCTCAATGGTAGATAAGTAGAATTTTAAAGACAAAGGACACGCTCGGTCAAACCCATGCCCAAAACATAACATGAAGAAAAAATCATGTTAAGAGAAAGATTTTTTTAAACATTATGTCGTTTCAATTTATTAATAAATATTTACTAATTCTGTAATAACCTAGATGCAAAATAAAAGACAATAATTTAAGATTAAGGATTAGGAAAAAAATGGATTGTTAGACTATATAGTATTTTTTGAAATACGATATTTGACAGGACCAGTTGACGGTTACAATACATGAATAAAGGAAGAGAAGTTGTAGCAGTACGTTTTAAATGGTCCGTTAACTGACGAATCTGCAATAAGAGAAAACGCGAGCTCTCTTGATAAAAAAGGAGTATTTTCCTTCAAAATGGTGTGTTTTCCTTCAAAAAGGAAGACACTCCTTTTTTTTCTCCGGAAATATTACTTTTTCACTAATTGCTGATTCGTCAGTTCACGGCCAAAAATGATTTTACATTGGCCCATGAATTAGTAATTAGCGAAAACAGGACATCTCCTCTAAAAGTAGATTTTTTTCTTTATAAAGAAAGACCCTCCTTTTTTATCAGGTGATCTCGCGTTTTCAGTAATTACTAATTCGTCAGTTCATGGACCATTAAAAAAAAGTATCCTTTTGGCCGTAAAATGATGAATCAGCAATTAGCGAAAACGCAAGATCTGATAAAAAGGAGTGTTTTTTGGTTTTGTTTTTTCCAAAAAGGGAGACAATCTTTTTTATTTATACTATTTACATTGTTCGGACTGTTGTCCTCATTTTATTGTCACATTCACGATGTTTCGGCCGTTGTAAACTCTGGTTTTCTTCAGGTGATATACGTTGGAATTTCGAACCGAAGCCTTTACATCGTCTACTGGAGTACATTGTTCTAGTTCCACGTGTCATGCCTTTTCTGGATATCTCAGTTTCAGTTATTTCTCTTTAGTAACTCAACTCTCCAAGATTTTGTTCACCTCAGCTGTGGCCAGGTATTGAACCCATGACTCTTTGAATCAAGTCACCGGATTACTTCAACCAACGCTTTTACCACTGGGCAATGCTTACATTTTCTGTGTAATCCTATAGTAATATATTTCACTACGTACTTGTATTTTAAGAAATTTTAAATTTTCTCCAATAAAATAACTAGTAATGCATTATTACTTCTAATGGTGTTTATATTTGCTTGGAGATACAATAAAATAAATAGTATTTTCTAGATGTTATAATATTTTTATTTTATGGACAAACTTTTATTCTCGCTTTCCTTCAGTACATTTTGTAGGAGTTTTTGTAGTTTCCATTCTGTACATGCTATCAACACTGTGTCATCTGCATATCTTGTGACAGCCAATAATGATTCCTCGTAGGACTTCTAATTCTCTCAGAATCGCCTCACTGTATATAGGCTGAATAAATCTGTTGAGAAGACACATCCTTGTCATACACTTCTTTCTATTTTTGTATATTTACTGAATTTATTTTTCATCAGAATCTAGGCTGTTTGCTGTCAATATATGTTCTGGCGTATTCTAATACCCTTCCAAAATACTAACTTAAAATGGCCGGCTACACCCTTCTGAGCACAACAGTCTGCTAAGCGTAGCTATCCAGTGTCTATTGCAGACGTCAGATTAGGCACGTTTGTATTTGTTCACACCCACAGACCACACCTATATTTTTTTACGGTGACTTTGCTAAGCAGACATTGAGTCTCGTCTGCAGTCACTCTCTCACAGACGCGCCGTCGCCTCTCTCTGTCTTTTCTACAAATACTTCCATGGTAACTGCTCTGACGAGCTGCTTCTACTGGTTCCCAGACTCCATGAATTCAAACGACCTACGAGGCTGGCATCCCGCTCCCACCCTTACACCGTAGAAACTCTCAAATGTAGCCGTCTCTTCTACTCCAATAGCTTCATACCTCGCACCTCTCGCCAGTGGAACACCCTCCCCAGTTACTGCTTCCCTGAAGGCTATAATCTCCAACTATTCAAATGTAATGTCAATCGACATCTCCAGTTACCTTGATCTACCCACTATCCTTCTCCTCATCCTTTCTTCTATCTCACCTATCTGCTCTTGCTCCAAATCTTCTGCAACCCCCTGCATCCTAGTGGCTTCACGCCTTGCTTGGGGCGTAATGCTTAAAAAAAAAAATTACTGAGAGAGCGCATCATTTGGTGTGATCAAAGGTTTGAACAAGGTCAGCACAGTCATCCTCTCGATCACGATGACGTATGACTTCGTGCTAACACGAACATCGACGGTCTTCGAACAGTTCTGTGTATCCAATTTCAGTAACAAGGATTTAGTCAACCCATAGCATGGTTGGCAGGTACATTCAAAAGGTGGTGCATGCTGGGATAACCTGCTCAGTCGCGTTTCCAAAAATCGATCAAGGTGAGATTCAATCCCAGATCTCATTTAACCGGTTACGTTCTCAAACTAAAACAGGAAAAGAAAAGCATAAAGTGGAGTGAACTAATTTCAAATCCAACAGATATTAACATCTTCAACGTTTCTGGCCGCAGAATCTGATAAGGATTTTTTTATCATCTTTTCACGATGGAGTTTTCTATCATTTCGGCCTAAAGACTCCTATTTTAAAGAAGCGAAACGCGTATCACTATCTACGCATTTGTTCTTATGCTATTCTACATGCTAATAACACTGATAATGAATTATACGCGTCTAAGTTTATATATTATCGATATTTTCCGGCTCAGCATATTAGAGAACTTGAACTTGAATTGTGTGAATAATGATTTCTGTTTGGAACAATCCGAATTCACTTCTTAAAAATGAACAGGATTTCATTGACCTGTCGCTCTTGAATATATTTTCAAGGATTGCTTGTCTAAGAGAATGTGTGAGAGCGCAGGCATGTAAAATATAAGCATGAATAATCAAAAGTGCCGATATGCATGTGCTCAAAACCTGATACTAAACAAACATCGATGTACATGTGGATTGTATGAATCAGTATGGACGTAATGAAAAGCGAAAAGGAAAGAAAATGCTAAATGCAAAGGAAGACAAGAAATTATATAGCTTTAAAACAGGAGATGGATGGATCGAGTGAAGAATTGGGATAAATAAGCAAAACGAGATATACATGAAGATAGATAGATAGATAGATAGATAGATAGATAGATAGATAGATAGATAATGAACAGACCGAGATTAGATAGATAGATAGATAGATAGATAGATAGATAGATAGATAGATAATGAACAAACCGAGATTATATAGATAGATAGATAGATAGATAGATAGATAGATAGATAGATAGATAGATAGATAATGAACAAACCGAGATTAGATAGATAGATAGATAGATAATGAACAGACCAAGATTAGATAGATAGATAGATAGATAGATAGATAGATAGATAGATAGATAGATAGATTTGGTGAATGAAAAAATAATTTAGTTATTCGATAGATATTTATATATTATAGATATTCGGCATTGGAATACTTTCTGGTCGTATTTATTTCACTTGAGCAAGGCATTAATATATATTACTTTTGTCTTGCATAATGTAGGACATATTTTATTCATATCCATCCTCTTCTGATAGGTCATGCATCATCTCATTTCTATAAGTTATGAGCGAAGATACGATTTTATAAAATGAATAGGAACATAAATGTGCGTGTTAAAAAACGAATATTAGATTGTACACACTTGCACACGTATGCGCGCACACACACATATGCATATTAAAAACTTTTATATGCATGTAATATATATATATATATATATATATATACATACATATATAATTATATATATATATATATATATATATATATATATATATATATATAATGCCACAATGCCAGCATTTTATGCAAATGCGATATTTATTTCCCAAATATCAAATATATAATATAAAGTTTTATTTTGTCTCCTTCACGACTCTCTATCTCTCTCTCTCTCTCTCTCTCTCTCTCTTATGAATGAATAAAAAAACAAAGAAAAAAAAGAGAAAAAAATATAGCTTAGCTACAGAAAACAGTAAACTAAAGAGATAAAGAAAGAATTTTTGTAAAGAAAGTCATAAACAGTGAATGCTGAGAAAGAAAGAAAGAAAGAAAACAGTAAATTTAATAGGTAAAGAAAAAACGAACGAAAAAAAGGAATTCTCTGAAATGCAAGAATAAATTGAACCGGATTCCAAAGTCGTCTTTCAAATCAATGCAAATGAGTTCGATTATCACTGACTGTTCCAAAGTCGGTGACCTTTATGAGACGAAATTCTTGTCAACTATTCCACAGCGAGGCCTCTTTTTCCTGCGATTTATTTCATTTTCATTCCTTTTTCACATCACTGTCTCCTCCATTATCAGTTTTCCTTCGATCTCTTTTCAATCCCAATCATTCAGTATCAATCGATCCCCCGACTCCCTCCCTTCCTTTCTTTCCAAAAGTGTTTCGTTTCTTTTCTTTTCTTTTTCTTTCTTTCTTTCTTTCTTTCTTTCTTTCTTTCTTTCTTTCTTTCTTTCTTTCTTTCCAGTAATTCTCTCCATTTGTTACTGAGTGAATTTTTCGAACTCATATTCACATCGTTAACGGTTTTATCACGACGCTTCGACTAATATCTCATATTTAGGCTTCCTCAGATGTATAATTTATCCAGTGTGTGTTTTTATTTGGCGGGGGTACTTTTTTGTTTTCTTTGTTTTTTGGGGTTTTTTTTTTATTTTATTTCAGTGCAGGTAGTTCTACATCTATGCACAAAA